AAAAAAAAAAAAAAAAAAAAAAGCGGCCGAGCCGCCCTAGGATTGGGCAGAATGCTGCCTCCAACAATCTGCCGCCCCAAGCACCAGCTTGCTCAGCTGGTACCTGGAGCCAGCCCTGATCATAAAATAACAAGATGGGGAGTCATCCATTTTTTTTTTTAAGGTTACTTTTTTAAAAAGATACAAAAAAGTCACTGCTAAGTGCATCACATTCACAATAGGAAAGTCATTAATGTGCATGAAAAGCATACTTCCGCCATTCCAAAAATACATGAAATTATATTTATTTTATCACTATTGGCATAATGTGTGCAAAAGAGCCTCGGAGCTTGCTAAGATTATATCAGTGCAATTCCACCCTCCTCGCAAATACACAAGTTGAATGGGAAATAATTTTTAACGTGTAAGTGTCAGCACCATATTAAGGCAAACAAAATCAATAATGCAGATTTATTTTTCAGACATTTAATTATACCAATCAACAAGTTTCTGAAAATGTAATTTTTAAATATAAAAAATTAGAATAATAAATTATTTACCTCCTTTTGGAAAAGGAAGAAACGGATGTAGTTGTAAGGTCAGGTTCCCACTCATCAGCAGGATCATAAAATACATCATCAGCTTTGTTACTACCGTTACTCTGAAAGGAGAAGAAAATCCAGTTCCTTTAGCTATGTTAAAGAGAGGAATGGTATAATAAAAGTTTACAATTTATTTGTAAAAAAGTAGGATGGTCTTTAATATTAGCATTTGCCTTTTGAAATAACCTTAAGCAAGCAAACAAACATTTATGTCAACTTGAGACACAAAGGTTTAATGTAAACGGATTGCAATTAACTTGAAGTACTTAACATATTTGTAAATGCTAATGCAGAAAGGTCTCCACAGATTTGTTCCAGGCTACAAACTTTTATGGAGTGTCCACACTAGCCTTTACAAACAAGATAAAAGTTTAGGGAAGACAATGTTATCCAGCATCCTGGATTTGGGAGAGCCAAGGACAAAACTACTTTACAGTTCACTCCCTAAGCCAGAAGCATAAAGACTCAATGCATTTAGATTTCACCAAAGTTTCTTGCATTATTATAACATTTAGAAATACATAACCATTCTAGCCATATTTTTCCATATGTAATAGCACCTGTTCTCTAGTATTGCCAAGACCAAAGCAGGTCCTAACAATAAATATACCTAAACCGAGTTTTGTTATTTGATACACATACATAGAAACAGAATTTCCCCCAACTCCGTCCCCACACCTCCATTTACAAAATTTGAACTAGATAATACTGAAGGAAGAATTCTGGAGCTTTCTTTTTAAATTTCTGATTTCAGATACCTACATGTGTCTGAAGAAATTACCCTTTCAAATGAAAGGGTTTCAGGTTTCACCATTTGAGGGGCAATTTTGTTTGAAAGGTTTGATAAAAGTTACAGAACAACATTTTCCAAACATGAAAAGCCAGTATTTTTTCTGAGAAAATTTTCTGATGGTATTTTTGGGGCTCCAGTAGCACAAATCGTTTTTTTCAAATTCCAAGCTTGCCACTGAGTTAGGCCTGCTCTACACTACAAAGTTAGGTTGACGTGTCAACCTGGTTGTACACTTAAATGTCTCTGCCACTGATGTATGTGCCCCATTACACTAACATAGAAACACCAGCTCCCTGAGCAGCATTGTGCTATGGTCAACGTGCAGAAATCAACACAGCTCAAGTATAGACATGGAGTTACCCATGTCGACCCAAAAAGTCCTCCAGCAGCTGCCCCACAATGCCAGACACTGACTGCTCAGGTCACAATTGTTAACTCCAGGGGTCATGCATGCCAGAAGCCCCCCACCTTTAAAACCCCTCATGTATTTTGAAATGCCTTTTCCTAGTTGTTCAGCTGGGTGAGCACACCTCTATCTGCTCTCCCTTGTTGTATGCAACTTCCCAGCTGACTATGTCAGCTACACACTCCAGATGCACTCCTGCCTGGAGTAGAGAGGAGCTATTTGATCTCCTGGGGCTGCGGGGAGAAGGGCTGTGCAGGCACAGCTCTGAACCAGCTGTAGAAGTGTCAACATCTATGAACAGACTGTTAAGGGGATGCAAGAGAAGAGGGTATGACAAGGACCAGCAGCAGTGTCATATGAAAGCCAAGGAATTGTGGCAAGCCAATCAGAAGGCTAGGGAGGGTAACAATCCATCTGGTGCCGAGTCATAGACCTCCTGCTTAAACCCCACCACCACCCAGCACACCACCTTAGATACCTCTGAGGAGCCTGAGTCACAGGCCCCTGCCATGAGCAGTGAGGAGGATGACGACGATGACAAGGAAGGGGTGGTGGCATATGGGGACAGGTGACCAGGAGGGTCCAGCTGTGTTGCGAGCCGGGACCTGTTTTTGACTCCACTGCAGTTCAGCCAGTCTCTGCAGTTGAGCATAGGCAAACCTGACGTAGGGGAAGGAACCTCAGGTAAGAATGTAAATAAATTTCTCATTACTGTGAGGGCATCCCTAACAGCAGGACACAGCTATCCATTTTGCATTATTTTACTTGTACTACAAGAGGGAGCGGGATGACAAAGAGGTAGAGATGCTATCTGCTATTCATTCCCCTGTAAAGTTAGGGGGGCCATGTGGAGTAGTTTGTTTATGTACACGGGGCTGTTTTTGTAAGTGAATAAAACTCCTTTGTTTTGAAAGTTGTTCATCTTTATTAGTTAACACATGTTGTGTAATGCCTGCTGGCAGTGAAAGTAGTGGTCTCATACACTCGCAACCTATAGGATCAGAGTCAAACAGAGTAGTCGTAATAAGTGTACATCAAGCACACCAACAGGTGATTGTAGCAGGGTGCTGGTGCAAAAGCACCTAATTACCCCTGCTCAGCCTGCTCCAATCAAGAGAAATAGATTGGGGCTGGTGAAACAGACCTGATGCCTGGCCTGCAGATTGGCTCCACCTGCGGGCCTGACAAGCCAGCAGTTATAAGGGCTGGGAGCCAGCAGAAAGGCCAGCCAGGGAAAGGTCAGTCTCCTAGCTGCGGGCTGACTGTAGGAAAAGGGGGAACTAACCCTGCATGCCTTGTATATAGCTCAACACTGGTGGTGGGTGGGAGAACTGTGTGTGTAAATAAAGCCATGGGTGCTGCATAACTGGAGGCCTCTCTGCACTTTAGTGGGACAGCTAGCAGGCCCAGGAAGAGGGGTGGGGCAGTGGACTCGTTACAGTGATACATGCACAGAAGTACAGCAAGCACCACACAATTCTTAACAGGCCTCCAAACTGCAGTGCCAAGTTGAGTACAGTACATGACAGCACATTGCTGTGGCTTGCTGTTAAACTCCTCTTTCAAAGCTCCCTAAGCCATATAGCTCCTCGTTGAGCTCATCTGAAAGCCCTTGAGTCTGGCTGTTCAAACTCAGACGACAGCCACTTCACCACCGCCCCTGCAGCAAGTTTTCCCACTTTGCTTCACAATTATTATGCAGGACAACAGGCAGCTATAACCATTTTGATATTTTTTGCACTGACATCCAATCTGGTGAGTTGACAATCCCAGCGCCTTTTCAATCTACCAAAAGCACATTCAACTGTCATTCTGCACTGCAGTAGTTGAATCTTTCCTTGGTGCTGTCAAGGTTACTGGTGTACAGCTTCTGGCATTTCAATATTGTCAATGGTAATCTGTCAGTTGGGAAGGACGGTCCATACTTGTAGCTTTCTGAACAGTCCTGTGTTCTTAAAGTGTCATGCACCTTCCCTGACCAGCCAACATTGATGCATCCCCAGTGATCCACCAGCACTTGCATAAGCGTGGAAAAAAGACAGTTACCTTTTCCATAACTGATGTTCTTTGAGATGTGTTGCTTATATCCATTCCATAATAGGTGGCGGGGGGAGCCGGTGGCGCCCCTTATACTGCGCCATGCAGGCGCCACTCCAGAGGGCGCCAGAGCCGGTCTGCTGCGGATACTGCTAAGAGAAAAACTTCTGGCATATGGCAAGCACACACACCTAATATGGAATGGACATGAGCAAGCACTAAAAGAAGTAGTTGCCCTTTATGTTGATATACTCTGTAGTAAGGTGAACTAGGGCCAAAACAGGAACGTGCATGCTGTCTATTGCTCCACCGCAGTTTGGGAACCCCTTAACTGAAAAGCCATCCACCATATCCTGCACATAGCAGAGAATCACGGTCCTACATAGCAGGAGATGATTAATGGCCCTGCACTTTTGCATGACAATGGCCCCCCCCAGTGGATTTTCCTACTGACTGGTAGCAATCCAGCATTGCAAATTTCCACAGTGCGATCACCACTTGCTTCTCCACTGTCAGTGCAGCTCTCAGTTTGGTGCCCCTGCACTGGATGGCTTGGGCGAGCTCAGCACACAGATCCAGGAATGTGGCCTTATACATCCAAAAGTTCTGCAGCCACTGCTCATCATCCCAAATCTGCATTATGATGCAATGCCACCACTCAGTGCTCATTTCTTGGTCCCAGTAGTGGCACTCCACCATTTGCAGCGGTTCTGTGAATGCCACCAACAACCTTGAATTGGTTCGTGCTATGTCCCACAGCAAAGTGACTGCCAGGAAATCATCCCCACGGTTCTTCTTTGCAGCTCTGCAAATACTGGAGAATCGTGCATCCTGTGCTTTCAACACCCAGGACAACAGTGCAGAGCTGTGCAAGCCCCATACTCGCTCAGAGATGACAGACAGCGACAAGTCTCACACACGTTCATGGAAATTGAAAATGGGCAATAAAAATTATGGGATACAGATATTATGGGATGAGTACACTACATTATGGGAAGTTGACCCTTTGCTCTCAGTCACTTTTGCACTAGCTGTTTCTGCCCCACCTTGCTTTGCCAAAACTACCCAAAAGAGAGCACACTGAGTGTTACACTTTGGGATACCTCCCTATGGTGCACTGCACATTGACACAAGCACTCCTGGTGAGTACACACAGTACTGACCCAAGCAGCCAAGTATGCACATACACAGGAGATATACTAACCGTAGTGGCTGTATGCTGAGTCAGCAAAGCTTTGTAGTGTAGACATGGCCTGAATGCTCCATCAGAATTAGTGTTTTTGAAATGTTTGAAGAAATTTCATTTAGAAACAGCAAAAATCAAAAAAAATGTGATTATAAACTTGACATAGCACATTGTTTTCTACTAATTTGTCAACAATGCATGAGGCTGTGCACAAGTAGGGGCATTGCCAGCAGATCGAGGGACGTGATCATTCCCCTCTATTCGACATTGGTGAGGCCCCATCTGGAGTACTGTGTCCAGTTTTGGGAACCACTCTACAAGAAGGATGTGGAAAAATTGTAAAGAGTCCAGCGGAGGGCAACAAAAATGATTAGGGGGCTGAAGCACATGATTTATGAGGAGAGGCTGAGGGAACTGGGATTGTTTAGTCTGCAGAAGAGAAGAATGAGGGGGGATTTGATAGCTGTTTTCAACTACCTGAAAGGGGGCTCCAAAGAGGATGGATCTAGACTGTTCTCAGTGGTATCAGATGAGAGAACAAGGAGTAATGGTCTCAAGTTGCAGTGGGGGAGGTTTAGGTTGGATATTAGGAAAAACTTTTTCACTAGGAGGGTGGTGAAGCACTGGAATGGGTTACCTAGGGAGGTGGTGGAATCTCCTTCCTTAGAGGTTTTTACGGTCAGGCTTGACAAAGCCCTGGCTGGGATGATTTAGTTGGGAATTGGTCCTGCTTTGAGCAGGGGGTTGGACTAGATGACCTCCTGAGGTCCCTTCCAACCCTGATATTCTATGATTCTATTCTATGAAAATAAATGTTGAAAGGAAAAAAGAACAAGTGTGCATATATCCAGAGCATCACACACTGAAGCACGTATAGACTAAGACACACTGTTTTATGATCCCACTTGATAGCTTTGGACCCTTCCTGCACTGCAGCCAGCTCTCACCTCTGAATACCATTTACTATGTTTGTTTTAGTATGCAATTAGATTACACCCTCACATATTGCACACACTGAAGAAAAGATACTGCACTCTGCAAAGCTCCTGAAATGAACTGGAATGCAGCAGAAAGACGACACTCTGTGCCCCTTTTGTTGCCCTCTTAAAAATGGAAGGAACTTGAAGAGGCCCAGCAGGTTGGGTGGATTTTTTTACTAGACTTCCTAAGCTACCCATTCTAAAACTTTCCACAATGTATAAATCCATGGTGCTCTTTAGGACATATTGTCCTAGAACATGGGCAATTTGCACTGCGCTTGTATGTTTATAAACAATTGTACAAAGATGGGTTTATTTGCTCTGACACATTTTCTTCCCCCACAGACCAAGGCCAACCATTTTAACTTTGATATGCAATGGGAAAAGAAGTTTCATATAGACAAAACTAAATAAAAAGGGCAATATAATTGTGAAGGTGTTGTCTGCCTTCATGAAATTTCAAATTCTAAAAGTTTTTTTAAATACATACAACCGTGGAGTCAAATACAGATACCTTTCTTCTTTTTTCCTGCCCCCCCTCTTCCTTTGCACATGCTCCTCTTATGTACAAAGCATTAACATTAACACCATCTATCCCAATACAAAATACTGCACATACAAAGGGAACAAGGTATAAATTCTATAGTCTGTCTAAAGGAGATGTAATTAGAGTGATGGAGATTTTTGCTGCATTTAACTAATATAGTTTAAAGAACAGTTTTTTAGGAGACAGATGTTTTACATTGAAAAAAATGTCTTCCCCAGCCCTTGAAAATCTAAGATTGCACATGAAAACAAGGATCTGCCTGAATGTCAAATTATGTGTTTGACTAGCAAGATCAAAAAATTAGTGAAAATTTGAAAAAAAAATCCTTAAGACCTTTTATAATTGATATTTTCTCAGAATGTATGAGCACGCACGCACATACAACAGTTACAAACATGGGTCCAAGTCCAGAAGTCATTACTCAGTTTTTACTAAGTAAATGAGAGCTTTAGCTAAGGAAGGATGGAGTAAAAACTAAAACGCGTAAAACTGAGTAAAAACTAGGATTTCCCCTACTGTACATAAAAAGCACAGATGTTTAGTTCATTAAAATCTGACAAATTCTGAATCTAACTTTAATTGATTTCATCAATATCTTAGATTAAATGTTTACAATTAGTGAAGTTTTTCTTCAGTTCTTACAGACCTCATAGAGTTCTTTCATTGCTGCTAGCTTATATTCAAACTTCTCCGGGCTCCAGAAAGTTGCAATTCCCAGCTTGAGGTTACGAACCAGCACTTTAACAGAAGGTCCAGTGCCATCTCCTTGTTCTGATATATCATGTCTAATTAAAAAAAAAATACAAAAGCCATGATCACCAAAATTAACAAAAGAGTGGACTAGTGGAACACTATGAGGCTAATAGTTTGCCAATAGGCAAAGATTACTTTTGAAAAATTTGGCTTGCTTAAGTAACAAATAATATCAAGGGGCTAATTAAAATAGAATCATAGAACTGGAAGGAACCTCTAGAGGTCATCTAGTCCAGTCCTCCGCACTAGATGGCAGGACTAAGTATTATCTAGACCATTCCTGAGAGGTGTTTGTCTAACCTGCTCTTAAAAATCTCCAATGATAAAGATTCCACAACCTCCCTAGGCAATTTATTCTAGTGCTTAACCACCCTAACAGTTAGGAAGTTCTTCCTAATGTCCAACCTAAACCTCCCTTGCTGCAATTTAAGCCCATTGCTTCTTGTCCGATCCTCAAGAGGTTAGGAAAAACAATTTTTCTTCCTCCTCTTTGTAACAACAGTTTTCAAATATGTAAAAGGTTATGTCCCCTCTCAGTCTTCTCTTTTCCAGACTAAACAAACCCAATTTTTTCCATCTTCCCTCATAGGTCATGTTTTCTAGACCTTTAATCATTTTTGTCACTCTTCTCTGGACTCTCTCCAATTTGTCCACATCCTTCCTGAAATGTGGACCCAGAACTAGACACAATACTCCAATTGAGGCCTAATCAGAGTGGAGTATAGTGGAAGGATTACTTCTCATGTCTTGCTTACAACACTCCTAATACAGGAGTAATCAGGTTGGTTCTGTAAAATTTTCTTGTAATACAGTCAGATTCAAGGGAGAAATTCCAAAATAGTATACAAGATCATGGCTCTTGAGAAGCTTTAAATAGAAGTTTCTCTGTCGTGTATTTATTATAAATCAGTTGACTCAAAATAGCTTGCAAACCAACAGGTTTGAGTTAAGAGTATTAAGCAAAAGTCTTCTAAGAAAAAGATACGCTCATTCCACATCCAACACCAAATTTAGTTATTTTTTTACACGTGCCTTGTGTGTGAATTAGGTAACTCACCTGCCGAAGACTGTGTGCTTTCCTAATTTGCTACTAATGGTATTGGCCTCCTGGATCATCAGAGAGAGTTTCATAGAATTCCAGTTAGGCTTAACTAAATAAAAAACACATAAGATTATGGTCGACTGGATCAAACATAATGAAATGATTCCAGACCAAAAAAGGAGACCTTTAAAGGAGTTCGGTGGACAAGGCAGTCTCACGGACTTCCAATTTACTGAAAACACTAAAAGACAGCTCACACTTTCAAAGGATATTTCAAAACTGGAATGCCATTTAAATCATTGTAGGTATCATATTTGCATGGTTTTAGAAACAAATACATTTTACCTTTCTGCTCTGGTCCTCCAGCCTCCACAACTGTGTTTCCTGCTCTTTCCCACAAAGCCTAGACCGTCTGATGATGGGAGAACCTTTGGTCTGCTGAGGAAGTACGCTAATCTACATGTTTCTGTGTTTGTTCACCCAGCCCAACTAAATATGAACGAAGTATCACTCTAGCGCTGCCTGATGTGCATGTCTCAAGAAGGGCAAGGATCGCATCCCAACAATAAAGATGAAAATCTTATAACTTCAATACCACTGAGATAACGTGTTGGGGTAAGAGATTAAGCTACTAGGATCCCATCTCAACCAGAAATGCAGCAATTTTCTCACAAGAAGGATAGTGAAAACAGAGACTAAAGAGGTCTCTCTGCCAGAAAGTAAACCTCCCAGCAAGCGGGAAGAGAAGAGGAGAAAGCCTCTCTCTCCATTGCCAGACAGCAGAGGAAATAATGATGAATTGAAAGTTACACTGTACACCAGGGGTGGCCAACCTGAGCCTGAGAAGGGGTCAGAATTTACCAATATACATTGCCAAAGAGCCACAGTAATATGTCAGCAGCCCCCCCACCTGCTCCCCAGCCCCCAGTGCCTCCTGCCTGCTGGCAGCCCCCACCAAATCAGCGCCTACTCCCCCCTCCCACCACAATCAGCTGTTTCACCTGTGCAGGAGGCTATGGGGGGAGGGAGGGGGGAGCGAGGGCATGCAAGGCTCAGGTGAAGGGGCCATGGGGCAAAGCAGGGGTTGAGCAGTGTGCACCCCCAAGCACATTGGAAAGTTAGCATCTATAGCTCCAGCCCTGGAATCAGTGCCTAGGTAAGGAGCTGCATATTAACCCCTGAAGAGCCGCATGTGGCTTTGGAGCCACAGGTTGGCCACCCCTGCTGTACACAATCTCTCTCTCTCCCCCTTCCCCCCCCAACACACACATACTAGTTATAGATTTATTCCCATTTCCACGATTCTGCTGAAGAGTTTCTATTTCTTTAGCAATTTTCTGCTTCTCAGCCTCCAGAGCTTCAAGAATCTTTGCATGACGAATAGTATGATCTTCTAAAGCCTAAAGAAAAGACATATAGATCCATCCATGACAATGTTTTTACAAGAAGCAAAGGATAAAATGGGGTGAGAGGTTATTTTATCTTTTGAGGCTGCATGCTTTACAATAAACTTCTCTTTGATCCGATCCCTCTACTACATCAGTTAAGACAACACAAATTCTACCAATTTTCATTGCTTGCTTAAATTCTGACATGTATATGTTGGAGCATTTATTATTTAAATGGGACTACTGAATTCAAGAAAAAGGGAACAGCATTTTCTATCAATTATTTTAAAAAGAAAAAAATCTATCATCGAAGTTTAAAGATGAAAGAAAATGTGCACTAGCAGTCATGGAAAATGACGACGTTTTGGTGTCTACTGCAGTCAGCAAATGTAGAAACCTAACCTGGGTCAAAATGTAAGGTATTACATCTATTAATACGATTTAGGAATAATTCCTCATTTTCAGGGGTGCTGTCAAGTCTCCTTTCATGTTTTTATCTGAGGAAACAAGTTTTGAAAGTATTCTGGCTCCCTCAGATATTTCCCCAAATACTTAACATTCTAGACATTGCTTGCACTTATGCCTGAGTCCATCATTTTTGGTGAGCTCAACATTCCCCTAAGTTTGGAATATCAGCAACCCAGCCCCCATTACATAAAATTATAGCTGACCTTGTTATTTCTGATTTCCCAAATAGCAGCTGATTTAATAAGAGGGCAGTAAATGAGACACATCTGTCTTAAAATCATTTTGGAAAGGACTATTTTTAAGAAAGCCAATGAAGTTAATTAATACTATAAAGGTTTGTTTAAATATATGATTGATCAGACAAAATGCATGTTTTAAAATTACCTGTCTGGTGGCTAATGTCTCCATTTCCAGACGCTTCTTGCTGAAATGTACTTCCAACTCAAGATGTTGCTTTGCTTTTTCCAGTTCTTGTATTTTGTTAGCAGTCTGCTGGTTATTCATTTCCTGAATTTGTTTCTTATGAGATTCTTCTCTCTAAAAAAAAAAAAGGACAGAATGAATGGGGTATGGAAAAATCACATGCTTCAGCTCATCCAACCCGTTCGCTAAAGATGGATATTAGAGTTTGTTCTTCTTTCAGTCCATGAAAGATTTATGGCCACTATACATTACAGAGATAAAGTCACTTTCTCAGCAATGGGAGATTATATCCCAGTCAATGAACATCAACTGTTATACCCTATAGTACAGAAGCGGGCAAACTACGGCCCGCGGGACCGTCCTGCCTGGACCTTAAGCTCCCGGCCGGGGAGGCTAGCCCCCAGGCCCTCCCCTGCTGTCCCCCCTCCCCTGCAGCCTCAGCTCGCTGTGCTGCCAGCGCTCTGGGCGGTGGGACTGCAAGCTCCTGCCGGGCAGCATGGCTGCGAGCGCCGCTGGCCTGCCCCGGTGCTCTAGACTATGCGGCAGTGTGGCTGGCTCTGGCTAGGCGGTGCGGCTGCCAGTCTGGTGCTCTGAGCAGCATGGTAAGGGGGCAGGGGGATTCGATAAGGGGCAGGGAGTCCCGGGGGGCAGTCAGGGGACAGGGGTGTGGATAGGGGTGGGGGCAGTCAGGGGACAGTGAGCAGGGGGGTTGGATAGTGGGTGGGGTACTGGGGGGCGGTTAGGGGCAGGAGGTCCCGGGAGGGGGCAGTCAGGGGACAAGAAGCAGGGGGGTTGGATGGGTTGGGGCTTCTGAGGGGGGCAGGAAGTGGGAAGGGGCAGGGGCTAGGCTGTTTGGGGAGGCACAGCCTTCCCCACCCGGCGCTCCATACAGTTTCGGAATCCCAATGTGGCCCGCAGGCCAAAAAGTTTGCCCACCCCTGCTATAGTACATTTGCTGAGAAGTAAAGTATCATAAATTTATCACTTTGCCACCATATATTATTCTCTATTAATTATATCAAGCCAGCATACCCTGAAAATTGTATCCTGCTTGTAACAATCCTTGCCCCAAGGCACATGCAAACTAGCAGAACAGCAAATACAAGAAAGAATGAAAACCCCATGCAAAAAGAGTGCATTATAGCTGGAATACTTTGTGCAATAGGTGGCCTTTTATAAGTGTTTCAAAGGAGGGGAGAGAGCGAGCCAGGGATTCAGCTGTTCAGGCATGCGAGACAGCATGAAAGGCTACACAATCCACCTTTTTGTTTAATTATGCAAAGCAATTTACCAGTTCTGCTTCTAGTGATTTTATCTTGCTTTCGTAAACTTTTTGTTGAGAAATAAGTTCTTGTTGAGCCATCTCTTTTGCAACCTGGATACCTTGCATCATTTCTTCCTTGGCTTTCAGTCGTGCCTCTTCAATTTCTGATTCAAGTCTGGAAGTAGTGAGCAACTTAAATTAAAATGTTAGCTTTTAACCTTTTTTAGTATGTTGCATATGAGTTAAAAAGAGTAACAAATGCTATATTCATTACTTTATTACTTCGGTCAAACGTGAAATTTAGATCTAAAAACCTCTCATTTTAATTGTGGTGGGTGTGCTAAGTTTTTGTAAAAAGCAACAGAGGGTCCTGTGGCACCTTTAAGACTAACAGAAGTATTGGGAGCATAAGCTTTCGTGGGTAAGAACCTCACTTCTTCAGATGCAAGTTTTTGTAGTTTATTGATTATCTGTTCTCACCTCCCCCGGGGAGAAAATCACACACAAGAAGGAAAAAGACTTTTTAGCCACAGCTGCTACATTTTGGGCAATTCGATCATTAGAAACATAGATAGCTGGGTTTGCGATGATCAGGAGAACCGCATGGTGACTTGCCTGTCTGGTGCGAAGGTTGCGGATCTCTCAAGACATCTAGATAGGCTTATGTGTAGAGTTGGGGAGGAGCCAGTGGTCGTGGTACATGTAGGTACCAACAACATGGGGAAGGATAGGAGAGAGGTCCTGGAGGCCAAATTTAGGCTTCTAGATAAGAGATTGAAGTCCAGGACCTCCATGGTAGCATTCTCAGAAATGCTTCCAGTTCAACGCGCAGGGCCAGTTAGATAGGGAGAACTGCAGGGTCTCAATGCGTGGATGAGACGATGGCGTAGGGAGAAGGAGTTTAGATTTATTAGGAACTGGGGAAGCTTTTGGGAGAGGGAGAGCCTATACAGGAAGGATGGGCTCCACTTAAACCAAAACGGAACCAGATTGCTGAAGCTTAAAATTAAAAAAAGTCGTAGAACAGTTTTTAAACTAGGGGCTGGGGGAAAGCCGACAGGTGCGGAAGAGCATGTGGTATGGACATGTCTTAGGGGAGGATCTATAAATGGAGTTTCCCTATGTCCTAATAAGAAGGAGAGGATGGAAAATGATGAAATAGAGGGAGGATCTGATGAGAAAGTCAAATGAAAAAAGTCCCATTCAATTACATCATGCAATAGGGAACAGCCAAAAAATGAAAAGTTTTTAAAATGCTTATATACCAATGATAGAAGTCTAAATAGTAAGATGGGTGAACTAAAGTGCCTAATATTAAATGAGGATATTGATATAATAGACATCACAGAAATCTGGTGGAATGAGGATAATCAATGGGACACAGTAATACCAGGGTACAAAATAGATCAGGACAGAAAAGGCCGTGCTGGTGGGGGAGTGGCACTATATGTGAAAGAAAGCGTAGAATCAAATGAAATAAAAATCTTAAATGAACTAAATTGTACTATAGAATCTCTATGGATAATAATTCCATGCTTGAAAAATAAGAATTATAGCAGTAGGGCTATATTACAGACCACCTGACCAGAATGGTGTTAGTGACTCTGAAATGCTCAGGGAGATTAGAGAGGCTATTAAAATAAAAAAAAACTCAATAATAATAATGGGGAATTTCAACTATCCCCATATTGACTGGGTACATATCACCTCAGGAAGGGATGCTGAGATTAAGTTTCTTGACACCTTAAATGACTGCTTCTTGGAGCAGCTAGTCCTGGAACCCACAAGAGGAGAGGCAATTCTTGATTTAGTCCTAAGTGGAGCACAGGATCAGGTCCAAGAGGTGAACATAGCTGGACCTCTTGGTAATAGTGACCATAATATAATTAAATTTAACATCCCTGTGGCAGGGAAAACTCCACAGAGGCCCAACACTATAGCATTTAATTTCAGAAAGAGGAACTACACAAAAATGAGGAGGTAAGTGAAACAGAAATTAAAAAGGTACAGTACCAAAAGTAAAATCCCTGCAAGCTGCGTGGAAACTTTTGAAAGACACCATAATAAAGGCTCAACTTAAATGTATACCCCAATTTAAAAAACATAAGAGAACCAAAGAAGAGCCACCGTGGTTAAACAACAAAGTAAAAGAAGCAGTGAGAGGCAAAAAGGCATCCTTTAAAAAGTGGAAGATAAATCTGTGACGTTGCAGTCTATATAATTATTTTAAAAATATGCTAATAAGTGAATATAATGTAACTGGAATATGCTTTATGCAAAAGGTCTCTTGTAAGGTATTACAAAGCTTATAATCTACTGAGTGTGATCATCCTATTTGTATAAATGTACCACTTTTGTATTTAAAACTAGAAATATGAAATATAACTCTGAGGGCCTATTGTAATTATGCAAAGTGTGGGCCATTAATGGTGGTTTGGAATCTTGATGACTCCCATTAACCAGGACAATTGTCTGCAGATGGGTGTGCTTTACCTGTAAGTCTTCCTGTATACCTGTGTGCTGGCAAGTGGGCAATGAAGTCTTGCAGTGACATGTGATCATGTCACCTGAACTGAAATCCATCTTTAACCTGGTGTCTTTCCATTGAGAAGGAGGGGGTGGGAACCCAGAGAGAGACAAAGGGTTCCCGCCTTATGCAAAAGATATATAAAGGGGTGGAACAGAACAAAGGGAGGAGATCGGCCATCATGAAGAATCCCCTAGCTACCACCTGAGCTGGAACAAGAGCTGTACCGGGGAAAGAGTTGTGCCCAGGCCTGGAAGGTGTCCAGTGTGAGGAAAAAACTTACTGAAGCATCTCTGAGGGTAAGATTATCTGTATTCAGTTTGATTAGACATAGATTTGCAAGTTTTATTTTATTTTGCTTGGTAACTTACTTTGTTCTGTCTGTTAGTACTTGAAACCACTTAAATCCTACTTTCTGTATTTAATAAAATCACTTTTTTCTTATTAATTAACTTAGAGTATGTATTAATACCTGGGGGAGCAAACAACTGTGCATCTCTCTCTATCAGTGTTATAAAGGGCGAACAATTTATGAGTTTACCCTGAATACGCTTTATACAGGGTAAAACGGATTTATTTGGGTTTAGACTCCATTGGGAGTTGGGCATCTGAGTGTTAAAAACAGTAACACTTCTGTTAGCTGCTTTCAGGTAAACCTGCAGCTTTGGGGCAAGTAATTCAGACCGTGTGCCTGTGTTGGAGCAGACAGGAGTGTCTGGCTCAGCAAGACAGGGTGCTGGGGCCCTGAGCTGGCAGGAAAGGCAGGGGTAGAAGTAGGCTTGGCACATGGGGTGTCAGCTCCCAAGGGGGGGTTCTGTGATCTAACCCATCACAAAATCCTAATGAGGAAAATAGAAAAGAGCATAAACTCACACAAATGAAGTGTAAAAATATAATTAGAAAGACCAAAAAAAAAAAATTTGACGAACAGCTAGCCAAAGACTCAAAAAGGAACAGTAAAAAAAAATTTTAAATACATCAGAAGCAGAAAGCCTGCTAAACAACTAGTGGGGCCACTGGACGATCGAGATGCTAAAGGACCACTCAAAGATGATGAGGCCATTGCGGACAAACTAAATGAAATCTTTGCATCGGTCTTCACTGTTGAGGATGTGAGGGAGATTCCCAAACCTGAGCCATTTTTTGGGGGGTGACAGATCTGAGGAACTGTCCCAAATTGAGGGGTCATTAGAGGAGATTTTGGAACAAATTGATAAACTAAACAGTAATAAGTCTCCAGCACCTGATGATGTTCACCCAAGAGTTCTGAAGGAACTCAAATGTGAAATTGCAGGACTACTAACTGTCATCTGTAACCTATCATTTAAACCAGCTTCTGTACCAAATGACTGGAGGATAGCTAATGTGATGCCAATTTTTAAAAAGGGCTCCAGAGGTGACCCTGGAAACTACAGGCCAGTAAGCCTCACTTCGGTATCGGGCAAAACGGTTGAAATTATCATAAAGAACAAAATTGTCAGACACATAGATGAACATAATTTGTTGGGAAATAGTAAACATGGTTTTTGTAAAGGGAAATCATGCCTCACCAATCTACTAGAATTCTTTAAGGGGGTCAACAAGCATGCAGACAAAGGAGATCCAGTGGATATAGTGTATTTAGTTTTTCAGAAAGCTTTTGACAAGGTCCCTCACCAAAGGCTCTTAAGCAAAATAAGCAGTCTTGGGATAAGAGGGAAGGTTCTCTCATGGATTGTAACTGGTTAAAAGATAGGAAACAAAGGGTAGGAGTAAATGGTCAGTTTTCAGAATGGAGAAAGGTAAAGAGTGGGGTCCCCCAGGGATCTGTACTGGGCCCAGTCGTATTTAACATATTCATAAACAATCTGGAAAAAGGGGTAAATGGTGAGATGGCAAAATTTGTGGATAATACAAAACTACTCAAGAGAGTTAAGTCCCAGGCAGGCTGCGAAGAGCTACAAAAGAATCTCACACAACTGTGTGATTGGGCAACAAAATGGCAGATGAAATTTAATCTTGATAAATGCAAAGTAATGCACATTGGAAAACATAATCCTAACTATACATATACAATGATGGGTCTAAATTAGCTGTTACCACTCAAGAAAGAGGTCTTGGAGTCATTGTGGATAGTTCTCTGAAATCATCGACTCAATGTGCAGCGGCAGTCAAAAAACCGAACAGAATGTTGGGAATCATCAAGAAAGGGATAGATAAGACAGAAAATATCATATTGCCTCTATATAAATCCATGGTACGCACACACCTTGAATACTGCGTGCAGTTGTGGTCGCCCCATCTCAGAAAAAAGATATACTGGAATTGGAAAAGGTTCAGAAAAGGGTAACAAAAATGATTAGGGGTATAGAACGGCTTCCGTATGAGGCGAGATTAATAAGACTGACTTTTCAGCTTGGAAAAGAGGCGCCTGGATGGGATATGATAGAGGTCTATAAAATCACAAGTGGTATAGAGAAAGTAAATAAGGGAGTGTTATATACTCCTCCTCATAATACAAGAGCAAGGGGCTACCTTTTCCAGAGGGTGTTGCAAAGGCCAATACTATAACGGGGTTCAAAAAGGGAGCGAGATAGATTCATGGAAGATAGCCATTGATGGACCTATTAGCCAGGAATGGTGTCCCTAGCCTCTGTTTGCCAGAAGCT